TCTATTTAGTGGGTGCTAACGACTGCATTGTGAAGGCCTATCAAAAGTATTTATTAATCTGGAACAACGGAACCAAAGCGCGATTCAGGAGGCTACAGCGCCATCTCTTGACCATTGGTGTAGTAGAACCAAAAACCACATCTTTATTTTTTGTAATAAAGTAACAGTTATAGGTATTCATATTTATAATATCAAAAGTATTTATTAATCTGGAACTACGGAGCCAAAGCGCGATTCAGGAGACTACAGCGCCATCTCTTGACCATTGGTGTAGTAGAACCAAAAACCACATTTTTATTTTTTGTAATAAAGTAACAGTTATAGGTATTCATATTTATAATATTTATCCACATGTTTCTAGTTTGTATATTCGGAATACGTGTTTGAGTTTCATACAAGTGCAAATCACATATGTTCTAATAAATTATATTCAGTAGCGATTTTAATTGAATATTTTGATTATTTATTTATTTTTTCAAATTAAAACTGAACTTTATTGACTGTGTCCTTTTCCAGACTTTTTATTAATTTATTGTGATTAATTATTTGCATGCAATTAAAAACTAATTTTAAACGATGCGAAAGAAGGATAACTTCTCACGCGCCTACATAAGTACACGCACCCATTTTTTTTGTATATTAAATAATTCTCAATAGTTGGGTATTTCCTATATACATATAATGCTAATTTACTTTCCTTGACAGCATTTGTACAATTCTCATTCCACCATGGAACAGGTTTATGATATTTAACGTCGTGACATTTATTCCTATACAAGGGTACAAATTCATCTCTTAATAAATTTACAAACTCACAAAATTTGTTGTAGGCCATCAAAGGATCGCGCTCTGATAATAAATTATTGAAATGTAGTTCAGATTTTAATGCATAGCCTGACCAATCTGCTTTGTTATACAAAAATTTATCAGTAGAACGTTCATAATTAAATATTTCAAGTGTGACATCCAAGTGTATAATAGTAGAAAAATGATAACTGCCCAGTGTATCTCCTGTATATACTGACCATTCTATGCACGGAGCTAAATTAGGGGAAACAAACGCTAAATCAATCGCGGAAGCAGATTGATAAGGACGATTAAGAGTAGTAACTTCTCCATTGTTTAATAGGAACATATTTGTTTCATCAAGCATATCATAAATCTGAATACCACGAGGCTTATTCGACAAACAACCAAATGTTGTGTGGTGTGCATTAAAGTCACCCATAACTAGTAATGGTGAAGGTAGTGACGTTATAATATTTTTCAAAGTATTTATGGGAAAACGACCACTGGAGGACAATAAACATTTAATAAAGTTATTTTGCCAATTAATGTTTTAATGCTAACAGCTATTGTTTGAATACTATTGCTACTAAATGTATCAATAACTGAACTAATTATATTTTTTCTGCATAAGATGGCAACACCACCATAGCCGTAGCCGTTTGCGCAATCTTTTCTGAACAAATTGTAACCTCTAAAATTCACAACATCTTTAGGCGCAAGCCAAGTTTCACTTAATAAGCAAATATCTACGCTTTCAGATTCTAAAAACAGCTGATTTGGATTTTAAACTTTGTATATTGTGTTGTACCTTTATCTGACTATTATCCATTGTTACAACTAAAATTTTTAATGATTTTTTCTTTAATTGTCATTTCCTTTACTACAAAAACATAACAGTGTCTCTATCATAGCTTTAAGGATTTTCTCATTATTTAAAATTTCGGATATAATATCCTTCTCACTTTAATTAATCTTTTTAATTTTGGCTGGCATAGGTGAGCTTGTTGTTATAGCGTAACTTGTTGGTAAAGATGGGAAATATGCACCAAGAGTCTGTCTATTAAATATTTTTGACTTATTTTCATTAATTTTGGCTTGTTTAATATGACATGAATTGGATACAGCAATATGCTCACCTTTGCAGTTGATGCAAGAAGGTTTGTCAACAGTACATTCTTTATAATGATGAGATTGAGCACAAATTGAACATACAACATTTCTTTTGCAATACTTAGTTGTATGTCCAAAGGCCAAACATTTATAGCATTGTATAACAGGTCTCACATATTCTTCCACAGGTAAGGTGCATAGACCATAAGTGACATGGGAAGGCAGTACTTTACCCAGAAATGTGATAGACACAGTTTGCAGTCCAACCACACCTTCTGGAGTTTTCTTTGTAAATCTGTGAACAGATAATATTTCTTGAGATGTATTTAAAGTGTCAAAGAGGTGCTTGCAACTCAAGTTGGTCGAGATGAACTTGATTACTCCAATACATTCGGAGTTTGAGGCTGGAATGAATGCTTTAAGCTCATGTTGTGACAAAAAAGTAATGTTAACCAGAAGAGAGTTAGCGTTTTTTGGATTATCAAATAAAACAGTATTATAGCGTAGTGCATTGACTCGTTTGATTTCCTTGACTCCTTTGTTATATCTGCTGAATATATTGTTTAAATAAATGGGGTCTTTGTTGCCAAATTTAATGTTTTCATTACTGCTTTGAATATAAACAGGAAATACAGTACCGGGAGAATTCTCTGGATAGCTTCTGATGTGGTTCTGCTTGAAATATGATGCAAAAGGGTTTAAGTTTTCATCATCGGAGAGATTAGTAACTGGGGTTTCAGCTTTTCTCTTTTTACTACCACCACTTTCGGAACTCATTTCTCTTAAAAAGCTAGTTTACTGTGTGATTAAACAAGGAAAATAAAATTTTTATTCAACGAAAAAGAAAATTAAACTTCCCGCCTCGGAAGTCCGCCAAAAAGTCAATCACACATGTGGAGATGACAATGAATGACATTTTTTTTTTGGTTAAGTTCTCCCTTTTCAGGGAAGGCAAGGGGAACAATGCCCATACAGCCTAGTCTTAAGTTAAATTATTCTGTTTTTCTTTTTACATTAGAATGTCGGTGTGACGCATTCTAATGTTTCTTGAAGTATTTGGCACGAAATGTATCGAGCTGGCTTTTTCGATAAGCTTCTGTGAGGTAGTCAATACTACAATAAAATTCTCACGTCCACTTGACCGGAAAAGCGTATGTTTTGACGATTCTACTAATTCTTCAGTTACGCAGACAGTTGTAACACAAAATCACACCAATTTTATTTCAAAATATCCACTATGAACGAATTTAAGAATAATTAAAATAAGACGCCAACCACACTCGATGAAATCCCGCCAAAAACTCCATTTTTTTTAGTTCTATTCTATTCTTCTCTATTGAGAAAGGCAAAAGCATAGCCATGCAGTCATCGTCTTATTTTTGTATTAATCTTCCTTTTTTTACATTAGAATGTGGGTGTGACGCATTCTAATGCTTCTTGGAGTGTTTGGCACGAAATATATCGAGTTGGCTTTTTCGATAAGCTTCTGTGAGGTAGTCAATACTACAATAAAATTCTCACGTCCACTTGACCGGAATAGCGTATATTTTAAAGATTCCACTAATTCTTCAGTTGCGCAGACGGTTGTAATACAAAATCACACCAATTTTATTTCACAATATCCACTATGAACAAATTTAAGAATAATTAAAATAAGACGCCAACCGCACTCGATGAAATCCCGCCAAAAAAAACACAATGAATGAATGACAGCCATGAAGCTATAGTAACGTAGAGAGAGAATAGGTATAGAGAAGCCATTAGGCCGTATACAGAAAGAAAGCCGAAAGCCGATCGGCGCCTATTGGCGCTGATCCTTTTTCTATGGACCGGCGCCGATCGGCGCCGATAAGCGCCGATAAGCGCCGACGCGCGCTGGTCCGAATAATAAATAATTTGTATTTGAATTATTATCCTTAGATTTAATCAATCTAAGTTATAATCTTTTTATAAATCTAATAACTTTATCTTTTATTAACTAAGCGCTAAAATTATTTGTTTCGTACTTACCGAATGGTGACAACAAGTCTTTCTTCTGGAAGGATTGGTTGTTTATGCCAATTGCCCCAATTTTTCATCAAACGGTTTTTCACTAAATCCAAAATGTAATAAAATGTTTCTTGAATCATTCTTGTATATGTATAAAATCTTTCTTCATCAAATTTATTTTTTTTTACAAATAAATGATGGTATTCTCCGAAACGTTTCCTTTCTCTATTTATAGGATGTATAGCTGTTTTCCGCATTTTTAAATAAACATTGATGTCGATTCTGGCATGATTATTTAAACCTAAAACTAAATTTAATATCAGTCTCTCCTTTTCATTCTGTATAGAGAACGACAAGGATATACTGTTGTCAAATTTAAGTTTAGGTTTAGAGAATCATGTCAGAATCGACACCATTTTCTAACAAAACCAAATCATCGTCCGATGAGTCCGACATTTTGCTTGATCTGCTTTAATCGGCTTCCTTTATGTAGGAAGGATCGGCGCCGATAAGCGCCGATCGGCTTTCAGCATTCTTTCTGTATACGGCCTTAGGGTACGGCCAGAGTGCACTCAGATTCAGATTCAGATTCAGATTCTGAAAAGAAGCGCGAGAAATAAACAGTGTAGTCGAAGGGTACGGCCAGAGTGCACTCCTGATTCTGATTCAGATTCGGACTCAGAAAACAAAGCGCGAGAAAAAGCAGGCAACCTGCTTAGACTACACTGTTTATTTCTCGCGCTTGTTTTCAGAATCTGAATCTGAATCTGAATCTGAGTGCACTCTGGCCGCACCCTTAGCGTATACAGTCTGAGACAGCGAATGTGCTATACATACATTTTATTTAAGGATGTTGTAATTTGTGTTGCTAAAAGTCAAACTTTACCCAATTTGTGGGTAAATTTCTTTATTAGTGTAGGCAGCATGTTTATAGAGCTCTCCCAAAACACGTATTCGTTTCTTTGATCACATTGGTCAAAAATATTTGATTAGAAAACCCACCGCTTTCTAGAAATTGGTATGCAACGCTTTCTGATGCTGTGGAGCTCTAAGTCTATTGTATTTTACTGTAAGGTTAAAGGAGTAAAGAAAATAAATAAAACAAGTTAGATGCACTGATTTCATTTATTTATTGACCTTTTCCTGAATGCGTCGTCTGACTGACATTATAGTTGAATATAGAATGACATAGCTGATAATCTACTGACCTTTGAACAAAATTAATTTATTATACAAATTTCTATAACCTTATCAGTTTTTTCGGAAAGTTTTGGAGCCGCATAATGAATTCGAACTCTTATATATTTCATTATTATAGCCATTATAAGCAGCGAATAATGACAGTCGAGAAAAGATTGGCTATTAAAATGAGCTTCTCGTGAAAATAATTTTAAATCCAAGCAATACTTCAAACTTTCATGTGTAAGGATAATTAGAATATTTTTTTTACTTAGGCCTCGATTTCTACGAAATATTACTTCGCAAATTTCACAAATTTTGATCTCGTCCTTTGAGGGGTAACAAAGTCCTCCTTTATCTTTTTTTAATTGAAAGCTAGCATATTTAGTATTTGATATGACAGCGGAGACACAGTCTTCACATTGAAGCTCTTTTTTAGTTTGCTCACAACAAATCCAGCAATGTATACAATTATATGATTTGAGAATTCTGTCAATATACTTGGATCTGTTAAATAATCATGATCTTTCATTAAAATTCCATCAATGTCTTTAGTATTAACATCTAAGTCAATATTATCAATTAATCTATTTTTATCGGATGTTTTGTTTATTGCTTCTTCAGGTTCAGGTTTGGTTAGTGTTAATATGTTTATATGTTGTAAAGGAATACAATTCCCTGATAAGATATGCTTCATTTCACCGTGTATTAACATTCTTTTAAATGCTGACTTAAATTGTCTAGCAGAAGGATTATTGTTAAATCCTCCTTTGGCTCTAATAGCACTGAAAAAGTATTGTAAATGATCCTGGCTTACTTTATAAATGCTCAAAAATTTAAGGTGATTATGGATTACCAGAGATTCATGTTAATAAAAAACACTTTTGATACAAATTACAAATCCCAAAAATCCCGTTTTTCTATTAGATAACATTATGTTTTTGTCTCCTAATTTTAATTTATTTAGATATGTTATCATTTCGTCTAAGAAAGGTTTTATTTCCGAGAAGTTTTTTGTTAAATAAAAGACGTGCGCTCGGTGCAATGGTTTATTGCGAGACTGGTTGCTGCCTACGATACACTCACATATATGACACCTCCACCCTAATTTTACTAATAACTTAATAACTAAGAAGATCTTACTTAACTAAAGTACATTGTATATCCTTACTATAAGTACCACGACATGTTACGACAATAATACAAGTTTAAGTATATACCTATACACATGTTACTAATTAAACCACAATAATATTAAGAACTTAATCTATTTCTTCAATACCATAGCGACCCGGTGGCTTACGGATTCTTAAAGGTCTACTACGATCAGGGCTACCCTGGTTCTCTCCACTCACATTATCTATGGCTTTGACTACCGACACACTTGGATGATACGAGGGGCTGTTCACGAAAGCATCATCACCTGGCGCTACCGCTGCCGCTGCCCCCGATGTTGCTATTGGACTTAACTAGGGTTGCAACGATATATCGGAATATCGATATTATCGATAATATCGAGACCAAAATATCGATATATATATCGATATTTAAAATTCACTGATATCGATAATATCGATATCGGAAATTCCAAAATATCGATATTTCGTAGACTTACTTTGAACACAATAATATCAATTAATTTACCTGCTATGACTATCTAAATTGAATAATATCGAAATAACTATTGCTTTGAAATTGCAAGAGCTTATAGGTGTATTAAAAAAATCTTGAACCCCAAGAAATATACTAAACTGGTGTGGACTTTGGCATGTTTCTCTAAACCTAAAATTAAATTTGACAACTGTGTATCCTTGTCATTCTCTATACAGAATGAAAAGGAGAGACCGATGTTAAATTTAGTTTTAAATTTAGATAATCATGCCAGAATCGACACCAACGTATATAGGTATAATGGTATACCTAAAGGTAACTGATGCACTTAAATAAAATCCTTGCCTCTCTTTCTAGATAATTGTCAACTACTGATTAATTGAAATTTAATATCATTGTAATATAACTCAAAATAAAATTAAGAATCTTATACAAATCGTAAATTTTTTAGGCTCGCCAAGTCAAGAAAGTAAGATAGGTATAGTAATTTTGGAAGCTTTGGGCTTACCCTATTCTGAAGCCTGATGTGTAGGTTTTACTAATTCATAGCAATTGTTTTTCATATGATTATTTATTCTGATTTTGGCTGCGTGCAAATATTTTAAACAAAATAAATATCTTTGATTCCAAATTGCTTTTGATTTGATACTTCTTACAGCGCTATAAAAAATATAGAAAATATCGTGTTGGAAATGTTGGAATGGCTGACATATCTGATCGGATATCGATTTCGGAAACCTTTGCTTCCTTAATTTTAGGACTTTGCTTTGCAAACTTAATACAAAGCAAAAAAAAAAGAAAAAAATATCGATAATATCGAGTTAAAATGGTCGATATATCGGATATCGATATTTGCCTGACTTCGATATAAATATCGATATAAATATCGATATTTCAAAAGACTTTGCATCCCTAGACTTAACGTCTCCGCAATAGACTTATTATTGATATTGTCTGCACTCAGTTCTGGTTCCTCACCACTGGTCATAGGGATTGCCATTGATTTCCGAGATTGTTTATTCAGTTCTAACTTAGACTTAACTATATCAAGGTTGACACTTCTACCATCCATACTACTACCTACTTTACTTGTAAATCTTTGTTTCAATTGGTCGATGTGTCTGTGGATTTTGGTTCCAAAACTAGATCCAATACAGTAATGCCTATTCCCTATTTGTCTTATGACTGTACCCCCTAACCACTTATCTGAGCCTCTATAGTCACGATACCAAACCTGCGCCCCCTGCACGAATTGCCGCTGTGCACCGCCCGCGTTCTGCTCGCTTCGCGCTTGCCGTACCCCCACTCGACGCTCCCTATCCGGTTTAATGTTGTCTAACCTCATACTCAAACTTCGACCCTGTAATATACGAGCTGGACTGTCTCCCGTAGTAGGATGCTCTGTGTTCCTATAGGCTAACAGAAACCTATTCAATGCTACTTCTACATCTTGGTTTTGTATAATAAATAGCCTTTTTAATGATACGCTTAATAATTTTAACAGCGTTTTCTGCGGCTCCGTTCGAAGCCGGGTGATAAGGGGCAGAAAAAATATGTTCTATACCATTATGGGTAAGGAATTTTTTAAATTCTGAACTCGAAAATGGTGGACCGTTGTCACTGACCGTTTGTTTAGGAAGTCCGAATTTAGACCACAAATTCCGTAGCACTGAGATTACTGCCTGCGCTGTTGTCTTTTTCATTTGTATCGCTTCGATCCATTTAGAACACGAATCTATTATCACTAAATACGTTAACCCACCTATTGGCCCTAAAAAATCCATATGAAGTCGAGACCAAGGCCTTGACGCCCAGGTCCACGAGTGTGGTGCTTGTGCAGGTGGTGCGTCGGCGACGGCTGCACACTAGACTTGTTGAAAATATATCGATGTATCGATATATCGATATTTTTGTTCGATATATCGATATTTTTAGCCGATATATTTTGATTCGATATATCGATACATCGATACAAAATAACCAATATCTAAATTCGTATCAAAATCGATATTTTTTTAAATATTAGCGGCATATCACGATCCAACTTAATTCGTATCTGGAAAAATCGTAACTGGATCTCAGATAGATAAAGATATTCAACTTATCTATGATCTGTGCTGTATTTAGTACGGTCTATGATTTGTAAATCTGTTTCGCTGGTGAATTGGTTGTGCTGAATTCCATTATATTCTGTAGAAATGTGCGACTGTCTAGTCTTGTTTACGAAAGATGGCACCTGAGAGGTCCTGCAATCATTTTCATCATTCGAAAATAGGGTCTATTTTAGGTAGATAATTTTCGTTCCATTATTATTCCACGTGTCATCTTTCGTGAGATACTGTACTGTCATGTAGTGTAACGGCAATTTGGTACTTTGATAATTCTTTCTTTAATTAAAATTTGTATTGTTATTATTACTGTGCTAGGCGGATCTAAATATATTTTTGGGAAAATTGGTCCGATATATCGATATTTTTTTCTACTTTCGACATCCCTACTGCACACACAGCACACGCACGGCATTCCGATTCAACCGCTTCATCAATATCCGGCCACCACACGTAACTACGGGCTAAAGCCTTTGTTTTTACTATACCCATATGTGGATCATGAAGTTCCGAAATTACTTTTTTTCTGTATGAAAAGGGTATTACTACGCGATGACCCCATAAAATACATCCTAATTCACAGTATAATTCGTTTTTCCTGCTAAAATAAGGTTTTAGTTCCTTGATATCGATATCTGAAGGCCAACCATCGACTATATAACTTAAAACGCGACTTAATATCGGATCGCCCTGGGTTTCCTTCCTAAGAACATTATAATCTAACAACAATGCTTCTGAGGAAAAATGTAAATAGGTTTGTTCTGGTAAGTCAGCATCTGCTGAAACGAACTCATTTTTTTGGGACTCAATTAAACGTGAAAGGACATCGGCCGTATTTTTGTCCGTTCGTATATATTCGATAGTAAAATCGTATGCCGCCAGCTTAATAGCCCAGCGTTGCAACCGACTAGCTGCCGCCATAGGTATCCTAATGTTAGGTCCGAAAATGCTTACAAGTGGTTTGTGATCCGTCCGAAGGACAAATTTTCTACCATATAAGTATTTATGAAATTTATCGATAGCGAAGACAATCGCCAGTGCCTCTTTATGTATCTGGCTGTAGTGTAACTCGTGAGAGGTGAGCGCGCGCGAGGCATAGGGTACGGCCAGAGTGCACTCAGATTCAGATTCCGAAAACAAGCGCGAGAAATAAACAGTGTAGTCGAAGGGTACGGCCAGAGTGCACTCCTGATTCAGATTCAGATTCAAACTCAGAAAACAAAACGCGAGAAAAAGCAGGCAACCTGCTTAGACTACACTGTTTATTTCTCGCGCTTGTTTTCGGAATCTGAATCTGAATCTGAGTGCACTCTGGCCGCACCCATAGGCGATAACCCGCTCCTCGGGCGCGCTCCCCGGCGCAGCTGGCTCCCGCTGCGCCAGCACCGCACCAATGCCGCGCGCGCTCGCGTCCACTGTCAACACCGTTTCGCACTTCATGTCGAAATGTGCTAACGCACTGGTGCTACAAAGAAACCCTTTTATACGTGTAAAGGCTGTATTTTGTTCTGTTCCCCATTTCCAATGTCTGCCCTTTTTTAAAAGATCGTAAAGGGGCGATAAGTACATACTCAAATTATTTATAAATTTCCCGTAAAAATTTACCATCCCTATAAAAGATTTTAACTCAGTTACGTTATTGGGGTGAGGCATATTGGTGATTGCTTTCACTTTTTCCGGGTCTACACGCACTCCATTTTTGTTGATAATAAAACCTAGATATTGAACTTCTTCTGCTAAAAATTCGCATTTTTTTTTTATTTGTAAGCCATTTTTCTCTAAAATATCAAACACCTCTTTAATTGTTTTTAAATGGCTACCTAAATTCTTATTTTTTATCAAAATATCATCATAGAATACTAATACGTTATTCACGTTTTTAAATAGATTAACCATAATTTTTTGAAAAATTCCCGGACTCGACGAGAGTCCATACACTAAGCGACAATATTTGAATAACCCTCTGTGTGTGTTTATGACCGTATATTTCCTAGAATGCTCAGATAAAACGATCTGATTGTAAGCTTGGGAAAGATCAAGTTTGGTAAAAAATAAGTTTCCACTGAGATTACTGAATAGATCTTCCATTTTTGGAACCGGAAATCGATCAACATCTAAAATTTGATTAATTGTTACCTTGTAATCTGCACACAATCTCAAGTTACCATCGCTTTTGCGTACTACGACCAGTGGTGTGGCCCAGTCCGAGTGGTCGACCGGTTCGATGACGCCGGCGCGCAGCATGGCATCTAGCTCGGCGTCGACGCGCTCGCGCAGCGCATACGGCAGCGGCCGCGCCCGGCAGAATATGGGCTCGGCACCCTCACGCACGCACAGCTCTGCTGTGCCCCCCGCGTATCTTCCCAAGGTGTCGTCAAACAGGGACGTATGCCTAGAAATAATTTCATTTATTATATGTTTACCGTCCAGCTCCTTTTCGGCTAGGAAATGGTTTGATAAGTTAGGCTTAGGTATTTTAACAGGTATTTTTAATTCTGCTAACCACTGTCGTCCCAGTAAGTTAGTGGTTCCCTTATTTAAAACATACAGATCTAATCTTTTTATTACATTATTGTAACTAACTAACGTTTCTATGAACCCTAGTGGCCGGACAGCTGATCCATCGTAAAATTTTAATTGTAAACAACAAGGTTTCAACTCTAAATCGCTTTATAATTTATTATAAACATTCTTACTATGCAAGATAAGGCCGACCCTGTATCGACTTCCATATTTAACAAATGATTTTGAACCATAGTGCTAATACCCACCGGCTTATAATTGTTTAGCGACAATTGATGTATAGACTCGCTGATGTCTTCTTCTGTCTCGTTCGCACTTCCGTTATCGACTATACCGTCCCGCTCGCTCAACATGTGCATCCGTGTTCGATCGTCCCAGCGTCTCGCACCGCGCCGTCTGCGCCCCGCGCTTCTCCCTCTGCTGCCCGCACCGCGACTGGTCACGCGCCCGCCACGTGACGATGATTTCGCCTCACGGTCATGACTACCGCCATATTCTGACCATCCCGATCGATTCCTTTGATTGTTTTCCATCCTCTTGGTAATATTTTTTGGACACATTCTCCTTAGGTGACCGATCTCCCGACACCAACTGCACACGAAATCTTTGTATGGACAATCAGCTGCTTGGTGTCTACAGGTCGGTGTCTACACTCGCATCCCGCTCAGCAGCTTCCAAAGACAAAGCTAAGGTTACGGCCCGATTCACAATTTTTTGATAGCTTTTTCAACTCCGTTACGTAGTCTGCTATAGTTTCGTTGTGCAGTTGTCGACGTTGACGAAACTTATATCTCTCTGCTAATACCGAAGGTTTAGGTTGTAGATGGGCGGAAAGTAATTCTACCGCTTTGTTATATGATAAACTAGTGGCCCGCCCTCGCTTCGCTTCGGTGTAGTGCTGTAGTTTAGACTATATTTTTGTTCTCAGGCTTCTATTAAACACAATGACTTTCTTTAAATACCTAATTACTAAAGACACGCGCCGCCGCCAGCCAGTACCGCCCGAACCGGTATGTTCCTGCATTTTAAATCTGTAATATCCTCGAAAATATTCATTTAAATTACATGCTGTAAAGGGCCATATTGATCTATATTACACGCACAATGTATTTAAGGTACTTAATTGGATAAGGATTAATGCTGTATTGCTTAAAATCGCTTGTTCGTAAATAAGCCATTATTTTCTCGTAATAAGTAATTAAAAAATGGTTATTGTGGGTTATACCAAAGAGATAGGCATATACCATCGCGGACTTTTTTGTAGACCTTTTTAAGGTGTACAATACTGTAGTACATTATTTTGATCTATCTCGTTGGGTTCAGCCAGCGTTTGCAATGTAAGATGTACATTAGAAACCTCAAAAATAACAGTACTTCTCCACTATTTAATGGATGTTATTATACATATAAACCTTCCTCTTGAATCACTCTATCTATTAAAAAAAAATGGGTGCGTGTACTTATGTAGGCGCGTGAGAAGTTATCCTTCTTTGGCATCGTTTAAAATTAGTTTTTAACTAGCAAACCTGTGAACCAAATGTTCACCAAAAAAAAAAAGTATTTAATTAATTGAGAACTTCGGAGATTTTGTGTGGTTTCGTTTGAAATAGAAATCACGTGATTTCTCGAAAACCGGAAGTGCTACGTTACTCACATCCGGTTTGTACTCTTATCAGACTATTCTTAACTTATAACTTAAACATTCTCTATATCTATCTCTTACGGTTTGGCCGCTGAAACAGCACCACGGACGGACGGACGGACGGACGGACGGACGGACTTGTCTAATAGATAAGAGATTGCATGCAAATAATTAATTACAATAAATGAATAAAAAGTCTGGAAAAGGACACAGCCAATAAAGTTCAGTTTTAATTTGAAAAAATAAATAAATAATCAAAATATTCAATTAAAATCGCTACTGAATATTATTTATTAGAACATATGTGATTTGCACTTGTATGAAACTCAAACACGTATTCCGAATATACAAACTAGAAACATGTGGATAAATATTATAAATATGAATACCTATAACTGTTACTTTATTACAAAAAATAAAGATGTGGTTTTTGGTTCTACTACACCAATGGTCAAGAGATGGCGCTGTAGTCTCCTGAATCGCGCTTTGGTTCCGTTGTTCCAGATTAATAAATACTTTTGATAGGCCTTCACAATGCAGTCGTTAGCACCCACAAAATAGACATTCTATTTCTATTTTGTTGGTAGATTTTCTTAATGTGCGGTAAACACAAAATTTTAATTAATTAAAGGTCGCTTTAGCGACCAACTTCATGCTGTTAATTTTTTGTGTTACAGTGATGCGCGCGCATCTTAAAATTTCACTCTCATCATTTTTTCATAACGCGCCTAAAGAAGTATAACTTCAAAAACCGCATCAAAATCCGTTGCGTAGTTTCAAAGATTTAAGCATACAAAGGGACATAGGGACAGGGAAAGCGACTTTGTTTTATACTATGTAGTGATTTGATGGTTTTAACGGTCTTGCTAAAGAGGATAACAGTTCGTAAGCGTCTTCCCCCATTATCGCAATTAATGTAGGTAGCTTATGTTCGTCCGACACTTTATTCACTATGAAAAACATTTCCATTCTTTCTACATAATTCGTCTAATTTTCCGATTTCGTATCGAATTCACGCACTTGACCAACCGACATTTTGATAATTCAATAATTTAATCACTGATTTTATTCCTCGTTCGCCACTGTTAAATAAAAGACTTGCGCTTGGTGCAATGGTTTATTGCGAGACTGGTTGATGCCTACGATACACACACATACATGACATTTTTGTTTGTTATGGGTTTTTTGTAAGAGTATGCATTTAAATTTCTTGAATTCATTATATCGAAGATATTATTAATTTTTCGTATAAAGTCAACAGTACCAGCAGAGTTCTTAAAACTGTCAATATTAAGTTCTGTATTACAAAATTCAATCGCATTTGCAACAGAATCACTCATAACTTGAGCGGTTAACTTTACCTTCATAATTTGTTTGCAGAAATTAATGTGTGATTTATTTAGTTTATTACTTAAATGCAACCCTTCATTATCCTGGAGCTCAACAAGTGATTTTATATGCTCCCGGGATACTATTCGACCCTGAGGATCGATGATTGGCCCTTTTTCTCCTAGAGTATTCCTTATTAACTTAAGCATATGTGAAGGGTCTGGAAATATAACTATCTTGTTATTTCCGACGGTGAAACAAACTTTTGCCATTGCAAAATTTGTAGGACAACCGTCTAAACTTAGAGAAATTAAATCGATTCCACACTCGTCGGTTAATAATTTAATACAAGTAGTAACCAAATTAGCTCTTTTTATCCTTCCATTAGCTTCTGTCTACTCCAAAAAATTGAAATAAAAAGGGAAAAGAGTCTTCATTCATAGATTACTGTCTCAGTGTCTTCATTTAAAAAAATAAACTTCATTAATTCATATTGAGAAACATTGTAATCGTTTCTCGATTTTTATATTCAATTACACAATAGTGAGATAAGAAGGTACAACACTATTAAAAAAATTTTTGAAAAGTCGGTTATTTTTTGGTCTGTCATGGTGCATGGTTGTGTGTTGATTTTGAAAAGGTAGCTTGAATTAAATAAAATTTGCAATCCTTGCGAAAATGTTGAATGTGCACAGTCTACAAATTGCAGTTCACAGTAACTGACCAAATCAAGCTTACGACTATTGAATAAAGAGTGCGGAAAAATGAGTGACAATATCAAAGTAGTTGTCAAAGTTAGACCTCTGATTGCTCGCGAATTAGAAGACAAACTTTCCTATCAGTGGCGTGTAAAAAATAATACTTTATATCAACTTGATCACAATGGACGAGATATTGGTACATCCTTCACATTTGGTAAGTTTTACGTTCAAGGTAACAGCATTTTAATAAAATCTATATATTCTGCTATAGAATCACCTACATAAGATTGACCACCTCATGCATTTTATTTGCTATAGGACATGAAGAAGGTTATATTAAAATTTTTATGTAGGCGTTCATTTATTTCAGACAAAGTTTATGATAAGGATACCAAAACTTCTGATATTTACAATGACATTGCGAAACCTATTGTGGAAGCAGCTACAGCTGGTTTCAATGGTACTATATTCGCATATGGACAGACCTCTTCAGGTAAAACATACACCATGTCAGGAACAGAGACCTCGCCTGGAATAATTCCTCTTGCTGTATACAATCTCTTTGAAATTATCAAAAGTATACCTGACAGAGACTTTTTAGTAAGGTAAAAAGCATACTGTGATCTTATTCATATCATATAATAAAAATACTGATATTTTGATTTTATTTCCTTGTTATAGTTTTTCTTATGACCTATCTTTACAGCACCAACACCAATAATTATATTCATTATTTAAATTTTCAGAGTATCATATATAGAAATATACAATGAGACACTGAAAGATCTTCTCAATGTTGAGAAGAAAAATATCAAAGTGCATGAAAATTTTCAAGGCATTAAAGTTGACTGTACTGAGCAAGTGACCACCTCCCCTGATGAAGTACTAAAATATTTAAAAGAGGTACAGTTAACAGATACTTAAAACATATTTTAAGAGACACTTCTTGTTTATTGACTTACTATGAGAAAAAATAATACAAGGATACATTAGAAACTATAAATTTCATTTGTAATGTTATAATTTTTTTATTGAAACAAACCAAAACTGTTTTTATGTATGGGTGTTGGGATTCTTTATGTGGTAACAAGAGGAATGCAGAACAGTGCCTAGGACTTGAAAGTAGTTTAAAGGGGCTCCTTCAGTGATATTATATAACCTATATACACCAACACAAAAAAAGGTAAATTGGACGATCCACAGAGCTCCATAAGATGATTGCATAGTCAAAAACAATATAAAGCATTATTTAAACATTGAAAGTCACCTTTAATGCATACTGTATAAGGTCTTAATTAAAACGCATGCGTCAAAGGGTTATGAAGGTTTGAAATGCAAGCTTGTAAAATTTTATGACAATGCTTTATGCAGAGGAAAATAGACCTTATTTTTTGACCCTAGACGCAATTCTGAATCTGTCTTTAGCAATATAGCAGGTACAGACCGCGAGGAAAAGAGGCAGCATAATAATTATTGGCTATGCATTTGAGTATCACAAATATTTATTCAGTTTGTAGTAAGTACTAGTACAAAATTTGCTTCAAATGCGTTAAATTAACAAACATTAATTAGATACCTGTCTAAAAAACGACACTTTACGTACTATAAGTATTTTTTTAGCATTTTTTCATAGCTCTGTGGCAACTTGACTTTTCAACTGTCAGTGCATGACTGTGAACCAAGAAGTGCTTGTGTGGTGTTCAAACACTTCTCGATTGGGACACATTTTGAGAGCACATGGTGTATCTTGAAATAATAATATATTCTTTAGATTCAGAAAACTTTCAATTCAGTTTATTTCGACAGAATGACAAAGTCATAGAAAAAAGACAAAACAAATTAAAATCAAAGACAAATTTCAAACTGCCTATACAACCTACTAACTTATCTAGGGCATTTAATATTGTTGCTCCTTAAAAAAAATGGGCACTTACATTTATATACTTTTTTTTTGTTTTAATTTTATCGTTTTATTTTATTTGTATTTTTACTTACATTTATATACTCTGTCAGCATTCCCTTCCCAGCCTTGTCAAATTTGGTTCTTATCAAATTTTAAGATTTTATATATACATTCATTTTCAAAACTTTCTGATTGATGAAAACCTTTCATAATGTGAAACATGTAAAAAAATAATTTTGTTTTTCATTATCATAATATTTTTATATTTATTAACCCTTTGTCTAAGTAAATTATATACAAAATTAATTTTGTTTAATTATACATTATAGTATAGCATATATAATGGATTACATTTAGACACCAGGAGGTCAATCGCCTAATGGAATTGCTATATCTTACGATTTTATATTGTTATTTCTGACCTCCGAAGGTTTTCGAATAGCTTACGCTCATTTTCTTTGATATTGCTGTTACAAATACAAAAGAAAAACAAAGAGCACAGGCGTTTGAAAACCTTTGGTGGTCAGTAATAATAACAAAATGGAAAGGTAAGCGATACCGATAGCCATAAAAATCCTGTTAGGCGATTAACCCCCTGTACTGGGAGTTGGTATCGTAACCAAAGGATAAGGGCTGTACAAAATCACAAAAATCATTATCCATACATTTTTTCCAGGGTGAGGCAAACAGACAGACTGGTGCTACCAACATGAATGAGGAGAGCAGCAGATCACATTCAATTTTCCAAATTGTGAGTAAATAGTTAATTATTGATCTCAGAAAACTTAATCTATGATAAATTTCTCATCAAACAAGGGGTCTGTTCTTTGATCAGTAGTAACAGTTAAAATATGTTAGTAAAAGTAAAATTTAAAGAAAAGTTTACTAGAAATAAATCCACGCGGACCAGGCAGCGGACGGGACTCGAACCCGCATTACCACGGCCCTATTAGCCGCGTTGAAATTTTCCTAGCCTTAAGCCGCGCCATCTCTTCGCATTGTAGGTAATCCACAATGTCAAAACGCTGCCTGGTCCGCGTGGATTTTTTTCTAGTAAACTTTTCTTTAGATTTAAACATCTAGCAGTTAAATGCTTAAAAAATAAATAAAATCAAAAGTAAAAATTTTCAAAATTTTATACTACATTTAACTATGTATGAACAACAAGCCTTTAATAAATGTTTCTACATAGACAATAGAATCTCGAGATCATATAGAGGGGGAAGAAGAAGCTGGTTGTGTGAATGTTTCAACCTTGAACCTGGTGGATCTGGCTGGTTCTGAGCGGGCGGGCCAAACTGGGGCCACAGGGATTAGATTCAAGGAAGGCACACATATTAACAAGTCCTTATCAGCACTAGCCCTTGTAATTAAGCAATTATCAGAAGATCAAACTAGGTATGTTTTACATATTGTTTTTGACTTCTTTGAACTGTGCATTTTTCTTCATCATTTTAATGTCCTCACTCCCTAGCAGTGCACATGCCTTCCCTTTTATGCAATATTACATAAAAACATTGGGACTTTTAAGCACAAAATCTAACTAATCTGCTTAGGTTTCATAAATATTCAAAGTGTAGGTGCAGTTTTATATTCTTCACCCATCAAAGTACTTGAAATAATGAATTTTAGGCCATTCAAAACCTTTCCTAAGACCCTACAATGTTCAATACGCTAAATGCTAAGTCTATTGCATTAATGTAAAGACACATAAAGATATTGTTATTTTACAGACATGTTAATTACCGTGACAGTAAATTAACGCGAATATTACAAAACTCACTTGGTGGGAATGCCAAGACTAGCATTATTTGTGCCATTACTCCAGCTGCTGTAGAAGAGACTATCTCAACGCTTCAGTAAGTTTCAATTAAATTAAATATGTACAATATATTTTACCATTAACATGACTAGGTTTTTAACCTTTAAGTACCAACATACCATTTTAGTTACATAAGTAAAGACGTGAGGTCTGCTAGACCACTAAAGCTTTAATAAGGAAAACTTTCATATTACAAAATATTATTATTTTTTAAATGTGTCTATATATTAATAATATCCTTAGATATTGTATAAATAAAACAAAATAAAGAATTTTTAAATATTTATTACTTATTATTAACACGAACATTAAACTGTCTATTTCTTTGGGAGAAAAAATCGACTCTTAACTTTTTTATTAATATTTATCAAGAAAGTAATTTTTTTGTAAAGATTATTATTTTTTCTTAAAGACTATTAACTAAGAAAACAATTTAAATTAAAATTTAACATAGAATTATCAAATTTCTTCGAAATTGCAAGGCCTTGCAATTTCGGGGAACTATCACAATTTACAAACACTCCTTGCATACAGGCTTACTGCATTGCAGGCACACATGTTTCATGCAAGAATTGCATTTGTAAGCAGTCTTATGCTTTAGTTTTATAGGGCAAATGTGACAGAGTTTTCTTATCTGATTACCCTCGGCTACTTCATTTTCTTCCCTCACATCTTCGGGAGCATCTGCCCCAAGAACTCTATTTATTGACGCATACAATTCTATGGGTAGATATTTATTTAGAAACCGGCGCTGCATATGTGGAACCACCAGAGATTTATAACTAGCTGAAAATAAAAGAGAAAAATAGTTAAACCTGGAATAAGCCGTATCCAAAAAAGTTACGTAAGTACAGACGAGTGGTCTGTCAGACCACGCGCGAACTCATACAAGACATAACTCACCAGAAACGCAAGCGACGATACAGCCACACTTCACGAACGTTGCCGGGCGACTGCCTGAGGGGTACACAAAAGCGCGGGGGGATACGTCTCTGTTAACAAATGAAACCACCGTATCCGAACGCCTTAAGTGTCTGTCAGACCACACGTCGGTACTTAAAGGTTAAATCACAAATCGTTGCCACAATGAAGGAGCTTTTTAATACAACAACCAACAGCTAATTTAACAAGAATAATAATTCCTATTAAATTCCAATATTCAATATAATCATGCAATAATATCCTATATGTAATAATACTGTAAAGTTTTAAAGTCTGAATTCTAATATTCATACATATAATCTTAAATTAATATTAAAACAAGAATTAATTTTATTTTGTTTTCTTCGTCTATCAGGTACATTATCAAAAAGTATTGGGCATGACTTGTATTTTTTCTTTATTCACATAATCCAAACAATACAGAAATATATAATAGAGTTCTGCAACATACGCGGACTCCACTCTAACCTCAACGCTGTCCACCACCATCTCGAGACAGCACGGCCAGCATTGTTGTTCCTGACGGAGACACAAATACTTCCGCCTGCTGACACAGGCTACCTTAATTATCCCGGCTACGTGCTTGAAGAGTCCTTCAAAGCGAAAGCCGGTGTATGCCTGTATGTTCGGGCGGATGTTTGTTGTCGCCGTCTCCGCTGCTTGGAAGATCCCTCCTTCTCCATGCTGGGGGTACACGTCGACTCTGGCCCCCGGGCCAGAGTCTACGTGTGCCTCTACAGATCCCACACCGGCGATGTTGAGACAACTCGACTTTTTGAACACCTTAGTCGGGCAGCAGATGACGCGCAGGAGCGATTTCCCAATGCAGAATTGGTGTTTTTGGGGGACTTTAATGCTCACCACAATTTGTGGTTAAGTTCTTCCAAAACTGACCATGCAGGGATCTCTGCTCACACATTCGCTCTCACGCATGACTTGAAGCAACTGCTTGATCAGCCCACCAGGATCCCAGATATTCCAAGTCAAGCGCCTTCTTTACTGGACCTTCTGCTCACGACCCATCCACAGGGCTATCAGGTTGTGGTAAGAGCCCCCCTGGGCTCGTCCGACCACTGCCTGATATCTGCCAAAGCACCACAGGCCAAGCCTCCGCGTCCAGCAGTGGTCAAGCGCCGTATCTGGCATTATGGGTCGGCAGATTGGGACGGTATGCGTGATTACTTTGCGTCCGTCCCTTGGAAGCAGCGCTGCTTCAGTGACAGGGACCTATCGGGCAGTGCCGTTGCCATTACTGAGGAGATCATAATGGGTATGGAATACTATATTCCTCATTCTGATCTCATCAGTAAGGGCACACGTAACCTCTGGTTCAATCACGACTGTGCTGAAGCTGCTTCGCGTAAGCAAGCGGCATATCGTGCTTGGATCAGAGGCCGCGCTCTCAAGGATCCCGGGGTCGATTCACTCAAAGCAGCCTACAATTCTGCTTCCAAGGCCTGTAAGAAGGCTTACATCAGAGCGGATGCCCAGCGTGTTGCACGTGTTGGCCAGGAACTTATAACGCATCCTGCGGGCTCCCGTAGCTACTGGCGTTTGGCCAAGGCCGTACAAAAAAACTTCTGCCAGCCCTCGCTGCCACCTCTGAGATGCCCAGACGGAACACTAGCTCATAAGCCGCAGGAGAAAGCCGATTTACTGGCAAAACTCTTTGCGGCTAACTCCCGAATCGATGATTGCAATGCACTGCCACCATCATTACCTCACTGTGGCACAACGATGCCTGATATTAAAATCAGGCAGCGTGAGGTTCGTGCCGAATTGCAATCACTCGACGTCCGGAAAGCTAGTGGACCTGATGGCATCCCAGCAGTAGTACTTAAAAAATGTGCAGCGGAGTTGTCTCCCGTGCTCACGCGCTTGTACCAATGCTCGTATTCTTTGGGGCGTGTGCCGGAGACTTGGAGAGATGCTAACGTGCAACCGGTGCCCAAAAAAGGGGATCGCTCAGACCCGGCAAACTATCGGCCAATAGCAGTCACCTCAGTTTTATGTAAAGTTCTAGTAAAGGTCCTTAATAACCATCTGACCCGCTACCTAGAGGATCACTCCCTGATTAATGATCGTCAATATGGATTTAGACCGAAACGATCGACGGGTGATCTTCTAGCGTACTTAACTCATATCTGGGGTGAGGCTATCGACAAGCGTGGCGAGTCGTTGGCTATCAGCCTTGACATTGCCAAGGCGTTCGACAGGGTCTGGCACAAAAGCCTTCTCTCCAAGCTTCCGGCATACGGTCTGCCAGCCCAGTTCTGTTCTTAGGTAGCTGACTTCCTGCATGAGCGTAGAATTCATGTTCTTACGGATGGTAGCAGTTCGCGGTTCATGTCAGTGAATGCCGGCGTTCCCCAGGACTCCGTCCTATCCCCCACTCTCTTTCTGCTGCATATCAATGACTTGATTCCTCTTGGGAATATTCATTGCTATGCAGACGATAGTACAGTGCATGCGGGGTATCTCGGACAAGCAGCGGCTGGGCAGGCAGTAACCAGGGAGAAACGGGAAAATCTTGTCATTGAACTCAATCAGGCTTTGGACCACATTTCCGAATGGGGTACCAGGAACTTGGTTGGGTTCAATGCCAAGAAAACTCAGGCTTGCGCTTTCACGGCAAAAACATCGCCATTCCTTCCCCTTCCATCTCTTCAGGGCACAACACTACCGCTGCAGAGCAACATTTCCATGCTCGGTATGGAAGTTCGCTCAGACCTGAATCCAAAGGACTACATCGAAACCGTGATCAAAACAGCTTCACGCAAACTCGGAGTCCTGAACAAGGTGCGGCGTTTTTTCACGCCCGATCAACTGTGCTTGTTGTACAAAACGCAAGTGCGGTCCTGCGTGGAATATTGCTCGCACCTCTGGGATGGCTCCGCCAAGTACTTGCTCGATGCTTTGGATAGGTTACAGCGGCGCGCGATCCGCATCATAGGCGATGAGGAGGTGACTAAACACCTTGAGCCTCTTCAATTACGCCGTGACGTGGCGTCACTAAGCGCGTTCTATCGTTTGTACCACGGCGAGTGTTCTGAGGAGTTATTCTCTCTTATCCCACCTTCCCCTTTCCTTCACAGGACCACGCGCGCTGGCCTACGTTGTCACCGTCTTACTGTGGCCACAATTCCAACGCGTACAAAGAAATTTGGTGACTCATTTCTTTGTCGCACTATCCGTAAATGGAATGCTCTGCCCGCTCACGTGTTCCCTCCCTCTTACAACCTGGGATCCTTTAAAAGAGGCGTGAAGAAGCAACATGCAGGCCGGCAGAGTGAGGATGGCTGGTGTGGCAGGTAGAACTGCTGTATCAGCTATCTTCGCGTCTGGACTTCACCTTCACTTAACATCAGGTGGGGTGGAGTCATTTGTCGGACCTAACTATAAAAAAAAAAAAAAAAAAAATATATGAAATGTCGTATGACGTCGACATATTGGTACAATTAGGTCACACTCCCAAACTTTAACAAGCAAAAGTGTTCATTAATTTTTGATAAAATTAATTATGTAATTTTTTGAAGTTATACTTCTTTAGGCGCGTTATGAAAAAATGATGAGAGTGAAATTTTAAGATGCGCGCGCATTACTGTAACACAAAAATTAACAGCATGAAGTTGGTCGCTTTAGCGACTTCATGCTGTTACTTTTGTGTTTACCGCACATTAAGAAAATCTACCAACAAAATAGAAATGGAATCTCTATTTAGTGGGTGTTAACGACTGCATTGTGAAGGCCTATCAAAAGTATTTATTAATCTGGAACAATGGAACCGAAGCGCGATTCAGGAGACTACAGCGCCATCTCTTGACCATTGGTGTAGTAGAACCAAAAACCACATCTTTATTTTTTGTAATAAAGTAACAAAAAGTATTTATTAATCTGGAACAACGGAACCAAAGCGCGATTCAGGAGACTACAGCGCCATCTCTTGACCATTGGTGTAGTAGAACCAAAAACCACATCTTTATTTTTTGTAATAAAGTAACAGTTATAGGTATTCATATTTATAATATTTATCCACATGTTTCTAGTTTGTATATTCGGAATACGTGTTTGAGTTTCATACAAGTGCAAATCACA